AAGTGGATAGAATCCCTGTCAAGAAGTTGTCTTGATTTGATTAGCTGCCTGAGGCGGTGGGTCGCGGGGGTAATGGGCGTATCATATCATAGTGATGTCGACGCTGAATAATAGGCTGATAGAGTATAGGCCTGATGTTACCTGTCGCCGACTGTTGTACTTTTCGGGACTTGTTCACAGGAAATCTAAAAACGTGTCCTTTGACGGGATCCTTTCAAAACTGACTATAGTTTGAAATAACTGGTGTTTACTAGTGATGAATCAATGTTAGATGAGCTTCGTCACGAGGCTCCGTTGGGCAAAAGCCATCACCAATCATTGTTTTTCAGACTTAAGTGCCGTACAGAAAAGACGCCTCGGAAGCGTGAGCGTTTGAATTTTGCGAAAGGCAACTATGATCAGAGGTGGGCAGTAGCGCGCTACATGTAGCGGCCGCTACAGTCTTTAGATTTTACTTAGGGGACCGGCTACCCTCCAACAAAACTTTTTTGTTTACCAACGAATCGTTTTGAAACTTGGTACATATATGTAAAACAGAAATCTAAGACCTTTTTGTTCATGTAAATTAAAAAAAATGAAAGAAAACATGGAATTAATAGAAAACGGCAAATAAGGGGTACTCTAAAAAAGTTTATAACTTTTGCAAATGACCTGCTACAATGTCGAGAAAGGCTGTTCCACATGTCGGTGACTCAAGCGAGAAGAAATGTTGCCGCATGGATGTGTTCCAAGTTCCAACGCAGTTTTTTTAGTTTATAGCCGTGGCCCCTGGTGTTGGTTCTCGTTTTAAATTTTAGTAATCCTTCTGGGACCTAGTATAAGCCATGAGTATACTTGTATGCTTCAATGAGTTCCCCAAGCAGACGTCGATAACTGAGGCTTGGAAGCTTCATAATCTTTAATCTTTCCTCATAGGACTTGCCTCTCAAGCCCGGAATTATCCTTATTGCACGTCTTTGAACATTCTCTATTAAATTTTTGTCCTTTTCAAGTTTCGGTGACCACACGACGTTTCCAAACTCTAGGTTCGGGCGCACGACAGCAACAAACAACTGCTTCATCGCTTCTGCATCTAGGAACTCGAAAGAGCGTCTGATCAGTCCAAGTCGTTTATTGGTTTTATTAACTCGACCTTCAATATGCTTAAAAAACGCTGACAAATGTAAAGTTATCCACCTGGGCAAGAATAATGATCAGCAAGATTACAGTATGAGAAGACACGGTTGCAACGACAGAGTGATGATGTCGAAGTCGACAATGGAAAAAAAAATTAGGAGTTAATATCGACAACGAGTTGAAATTTTCTAAGCATATTGAAGGTCAAGTTGATAAAGCAAATAAAAGACTTGGACTGATCAGACGCTCTTTCGAGTTCTTAAATGCAGAAGCGATGAAGCAGTTGTTTGTTGCTGTCGTGTGCCCGAACCTGGAGTTTGGAAACGTCGTGTGGTCACCGAAATTTGAAAAGGACAAAAATTTAACAGAGAGTATTCATAGAGGCGCAACAAGGATAGTTCCGGGCTTGAGAGGCAAGTCCTATGAGGAAAGATTAAAGATTATGAAGCATCCAAGCGTCAGTTATCGACGTCTGCGTGGGGACTTCATTGAAGCATACAAGTATATTCATGGCTTATACTAGGTCCCAGAAGGATTACTAGAATTTAAAACAAAAACCAACACCAGGGGCCACGGCTATAAACTAAAAAAACTGCGTTGGAACACATCCATGCGGCAACATTTCTTCTCGCTTGAGTCACCGACATGTGGAACAGCCTTCCTGATAGCATCGTTGACGCTCCGAGTATGAACACCTTCAAACACAGACTAGACTAGATGTAGATGAAACTATGCAGGAGCATATGTTCAGTCTTAAAATGCATAGCAAATTACGGACCAGGCAATAAGTCCAGCAGCTACCTCAATCAATCGTCAGTTATGGAAAGATCGGGTTCCTAAGGCCGGATCACTTGTGAATCAAGTCACGAAAAGTTCAAGAATCGGCAACAGGCCATGGGCCTATTTCTTCAATGCCGACTCTTCTATTCTATTCTTAACTGCTAGATTTCCACCGAGTTCGATATGGTGCTAGGCATTTTAAGTCTGAAAATATAGCTCTCCGTGGCTTGATCTAGTCTGTTTTTTTTTTAACTGCTTAGCTCGTAACAATTTTTTCGATTTCGCCTTCGTTCGCGAGTTCTACGGATATGCGTAGAAACGACCGGCATTTCACAAGCCGATTTTAAAACTTGCATTGACCAAGAGCTGTATACGTAAAGCCGTATAACTCGCAAACGAAGGCAAAATCGAAAAACAATTGTATCTAGTTAAACATCACCGTTGGGAAGTTAGGTTTTCACATACGAATTTTTTTTTCAAATCTGTCAGTATTTTAGGAGAAATTCCTTGCTCACTGCGAATTCAAGTACCTACGTATTGCTGTTTAAATCACCGAATGTGGGAAAAATAAAAAAAAATCGCAAACGAAGGCAAATCTAAAAAATTGTCACGAGTTAATAAACATCAGCGTTGGGAGGTTAGGTTTGTATATTCAAAGTTTCGTTCAAATATGTACTGTAGTTTCGAAGAAATTTATTGACTGCGAATTTTGGCACGTATCGCCATATAACTCACGAATGAAGGTGAAACTCAAAAAATTTTTGCGAGCTAAACATCACCGTTACGTCATAATGAAGACTTGTACCAAGTTTCATCGAATTACGTTCATTACGTTGGGAGATATTCCTTGTTCACTGAATTTGGAGATTTGGCGCGAGACTGGTAAATTTGTCTGTGTCGTGATAACAGAGGCTTGGAAGCTTCACAATCTTTAATCTTCTTTTCCTTGTTCCACGTCTTTGAACACTCTCTACTAAATTTTTGTCCATTTCAAGTATCGGTGACCACATGGCGTTGAGAAACTCTAGGTTCTGGCGTACGACTGTGACAAAAGACAATTTCATCGCTTCTGCATTAGAACTCATAAGGCCGTCTGATCAGTCCAAGAAGTTTATTGGATTTCTTATCTTGCATTTCAATATGCCCAGAAAATGTCAGCTCCTTGTCGAAATAAATCAAAAATATTTTTCCACGCTAGGCTTTTAATCATTGCGAGGTGTAAACTGTTCATTTCAATCAATTACGCTAGACATGATGAACTGTTTACAGAGGGCGGTGGTGAAACTCAGTTATGCCTTGAATTAAACGGGTAGTTTCTTCTGTCTGAAAGGCTGAAAGGAAATTGAAATGTCAAGGCGGATGATGGGAATCTTGTAGGTAACTAACTATCTTTTGGGTCACGATGTCGGGTGCTGTCACGCTGTACGATGGGCAGAGGTCAATGGAACAAGAAAAGTTCGTGTGGAAAACAGCGGATTTGTGATGAAATGTTGCTTTAGCAGGTATCAATCTCTGTATAATCTCGTTTACACAAAAGGTGGGAGCGTAAAGCATCTCGAACATTTTGTCCACCGCGGCTATAAATGAAGCTTTACGGTAGGTACCTATGGATTGGCTGGCACCATGGGGCTGGCCGGTAAAACAGCGCAATGGAGACGAAGGGCAGGTGCGATATCATGATGCGGCGGTAATCGGAGTTTAGAGAGACGTGCGTGAAGAAGCCAGTATAAAGGAGCATTTGGGTGCTGATGAGGGAGAGACCCCAGCGTAGATGAGGGGTTATAGGCCGGAAGACGTACGGGAGAGTCTTCGCTGAGGTTGAGAATGGAGTTTAGCCCGGAAGGCATGTGGCTGATTACGCAGAAAGCGAAGTTATTGAAAGACGCAATAATTGCCAAGGCATTCAAGCCTTGAAAATGACGTTTATGCTTTAAAATCTTTCCTTATTTCAAGACATGCACGAAAGTAGCATAGGTTTGGACCTAATGGTCGTGTTTGGTAGTTCCATTCAAAGAGTTTTGCACGGGAGGATGAGTGCTTCATGCTAGACAGTAATGTGGTAAACTGAAGCACCTAATGATGGAATATGAGGCGTATTGGAGGGAGAAAATACTTGCAAAACCTTTAACAAACGCGGCCGTTTGCATGTGTTCCCACAGGAGTGAAGTTTTTCTTCAATTACGGACTTTTCACTGTATCATGAATTAGAAGGATCCTGTGCGTGATTATGTAATTTAGACTTGGAGAGGGAATGGAGGGTGAGAGAGTGGAGGAGGACTTTTTTGTAGATTTTTGGAGATGGATTCATTCATCAAAAAGCATCCTTCAATTCATTTGTATATTTCCAAGTGTTGTGCGGCTGACTGATGTACAGTCCGTCTGACCTAAATTCATCGCGCGCGACACTGTTTCAATTGGCAAATTTAAATGACTACATTCCAACTCAACCCTCTAAAGATCTGCATGTCATTATCGAGGTACATATAATAAAAGTTCCAATGCAAAATTGTACATCTCATATTCTTAGTTAGCATTATCTATTGTCGCATTAGTAGAAAGAGTGGATGGCGATAATTACGGGTCTGTCTGAGGGAGCAACTGCGGCTATATTTGAGAGTGTGAAGAGATATTTGGAAAACGTGTGGATGATGAGGGAGAGGAGGAGGATGTTATGAGTGGGGTCTTGAGGAATGGAGGGTTGAGAGAGTGGAGGGTGGGAAGACGTGTGAACGTGCCGAATTGTTTTAGTACGTGGTTTTAATTTTTTGCGATTGTCAAATTTTTTTATTTTTTCTTAGGACAGCTGTGAATATGGTATATTTGAACTTTTTTGTTAACATATGAGTGTAAACTTTTAATTTTTTTTGATGCTAGTAAAACTTTTTTAGGCAGCGTGTATGACCGATTTAAAGGTCGTGACCGTAGGTCACCACGCACCCCAATTCCAATTCCAGTTCAGGAAGTTTCAGCGCTGAAGGAATAGGCCCAAGGCTATTCGCATCTACTACCGAATTTTTCTCACTGTCGTTGATAAAAGCAATTAATAGTGCGTCAGAGAGTTTGTTCGAATTAATGACAAATGTTATCAGGCTACGTCATCAATACAAGTTTGAGACTACCATGTAAGCTTGAGGTGCCACGACGCGTCTAAATCATAGCTGTGTTTCGTGGCAGGGTGCAATCGGGACTCTTGGAGCAAAAATATAAAAATCGCATTTGTCTGGAGTGAGTTTTTGCTGGATTGAATTTCAATGCACATATTTGGCCATCCTGTAAAATGTTAATTATGTCTAAAGACTCAAATTTCTTTACAATATTCATAATTAGTGTGTTATTCCATTTCGGCGAGCTGGCATGGGGTTACCCTGAACAAGGAAAATGGTCTCTCCCCGTGAGTCAAGTAAGTGACTTGAAAACAACACTACAAAGTCTACAACAGTAATTAATAATAATAATCAGTAAACCCATTGTATTAGACTTCAGTTAGAATTTCTAATATTCTACATTGAATTTTACTAAAAAAATATATAGTATATTTGCACAAACAGCTCAGAGCTCAATTTATAGACCTGCAAAACTTGGGGATATTTAGGTGAATTACCTTAAAACCTACCTACTACTACCTAGATACCTAAATACAAAAGATAGGCTAATGGCATTTGTTTCTCCTCCTGTAAAAGCTGATGAATTTTCTATCTGCACTAAGATTGCCACTTTCCAGCCTTCAATAGAAATTAGAAACCATCTGTACCTATCTTAATTCATAAACAAGCTAAACCACATCTTTATATTGCAATTTGTAATCACAATAGTTTTTAGTGTGAATCTTGAACTCCACTGAGGCACTGACAGTAGCCCAGAAAAATTTTAAAAATCATTATTCCAATTTCCAATGACTGACCAAAGGGGAAAAAATTGTAGAAACCATGTTAACCACTCATGAGCATGAATTGGTCAAAAATGCTTGTTGGCATGTGAATATGGCCAATTTCTTCCATTTGTACTATGGCTTTTTCCGTATTAAAAAAACAGCCTATTTCTAACTGCAATTTACAATAATCATCTGCTAGTCTGGAAAAGTCCTATTTTTGTCTGAAATATTGCGGCTCTAATATCATATAATTTCAGTCATAGTGGCAAAGCAGAGAGTTTTTTAGACTCTCCTTCAAGTTCATTTTTGAGTCCTATAAGTAGACCAGTAAAGTATCCTGGATACCAGCATTATCATACAGCTATAAAAATTGTTTTTTGCCTACAATCTATGAAAACTTCTGGGTTCTGCCTGTGACTGAAATTCCAAATTGGGCACCTGGTAGCCTAGTAAAATTTTTCAACTCAAATGTTGTGTATTTTGTTTCATTATAAAATTTGCAGCTTGATTAAGATGTTTTATCGTTATTATTTATAATTCTTGTAACTACCCTTTCTGGGAAATCAATCAGAAGCTAACAATGGATGAGACAAAAATGCAAACCGTATGCCAGTGGTCAATTTCAGCATCACCTAAAAAATCATAGATTTACTATTCTGGAAAATTGTGATTCTCTGCCAATATGGATAAAGCTTTTTCCAATTCTTAGACTCTATAAGAACTTGCTCCATCCTTGGCAATTGACATCAGTCTTTCATCTTTGCTCAATGGGATTTTAGTTATAGAAATATATATAATAGCTCTTTACTTTCTGAAAGTATGTACTGTACACTGTACAGTAGTATATTAATGTCCTCTCTTTGCCAAGTGATATACCTACTAGGTACATACCTACTAAACTCAACTGAGATGCACATGAAATGTGCAGGCAAAATATACATTTCCAAGCTATGTTCTTTGCTGGAATGGAACATCTAGCTTTTGACCCACAACTAGAGCTGTTCTGCCATTTTTTTAGCTATGAGATTTTTGCTAGATGAACTTAGTACGGTATCTCGTATCTAGTTGTTAATAAAAGTACAGGATTGAGCCACAAGATTCCAAATAAATTAAAAATTTGTCATTTTGGTGCAGAAAACATGTATTCAAGCTCCAAACTTGCAGGCAAAACAAACTAAAAACTAAGGTGCCATGACATTACAGAAATTAGTAGAAGAATTCCTTCCCTGCTTTCAAGCAAAAAGGTCACAAAATTGCTTTGGTTGTTCTTGACTTGTTAAAATGATGAATATGGCAATGATGTAGCTGCTCACAAAATGATGAATATGGCAATGATGTAGCTGCTCACAAAATGATGAATATGGCAATGATGTAGCTGCTCATAACATGTTAAATTTGTGGGAAATAGTCTTATAAAAATGTGCTCCAGCCTTTGGCTTGATTCAAAACATTTTTGTTTTACAGGAAGAGCAATATATTGCTGTCACAAAGAGCATGTTCAATGGAACTTCTGTGCTGGTGAAAGTCAAGTGTGATGCTGATATGGAAACTTCAGCCTCGCCAGTCAATGTTACCATCTCTTGGGTGCTGCGATGGACTCCATGCTGGAAAGAATACCTTTTCTATTCAGAGGTAATTTGTGCAGTTTATTTGCAATCTTATGTTTTTTAGTATCTCTGAAATCAAAATGGCCAATAATAAATTATTGCACAAGCCTGTGTAAATGTTAATATAGTAAGCAGGCCTATAATAGTCAGAATTCTGTATAATCTTGTACAAAATTAGTCTAAATGATAATTAATTTTTTGCTGTGAATGCCTTGTGTTATGCATAAATGTTCTTAAATGTGTTTAGTTTAAATTGTCTGGTCTTGGCAAATCATATCAAGATTATCATGCAGAGGAGGTTCTACCGTTGATCTTTAAGTTCTACCTAACCTTTCAATTTGGTTAAAAAATGCTACTAGAAGCACCTCATAGCTTATTTAGCTATATCTAGTTACTCTGAAATGAAAAATCCATAACTAGGAATTTAGGATATTTAATGAAGTCTCATGTTTGGGTTATAAAATTACATGCAAGAAAATATAAGGACTATGGTATTAATTGTTAGATTTATACCAGTACCTCAGTTGTGTATCAATACAATCTTTAGTTGTATATACAAAGTGTCTTTAATTAGATTAATAGTCTACTATGCTGTATAAAAATTCATGTACATTCTACAGGAAAACAAAAAATTCTTTGAAGACCTTTTTGAATCACCAGAACTGCCTCTTAACCATGAAGTTATACAATATCCTGCTGGTCTAAAATCCTCACAATTCAGTTTCAAGTGTGACAACAATATCATACTGGTGAGCTTGACGGTGAAAATGTTACTAGGTACTTGTGTTGAATATTCTACCTCTACCAACCTACTGCTCCTGTGTATTTTCCTTTGATACAATGTTTTGAAATATTTTTTTTGTTTTGTGTTAAACGATATAGGTATACATGATCATTTCTGAAGTTTGAAAAACTCAAAATTTTAGTTATACATACATCCTGCTGTTGAATTTCAAATATATTTATTATTGTCTTGAATATTTAGAAATTTTGTTGGTGTTACTTTTTTTAGCCACCAGCTGACGAAAGTAATGTCCGAATCCTTGAGTACCACAGCAGTGATGGATCAACAGAAGCCACTCCAACTACAAACAATACTCAGAAGCTTAAGCGCCTTACAGGATCTGATGCCCATGAAGGTTGTTCAAAAATAGTGACAATAATAGTAATTTTACCTAAAACTCAGGATATCTTTGAGGTTCTTGTGACTTTTGGTCACGATATGTTTTTCTAATATTTTGATACTTAGTGCCACTAGTTTTGAAGGCCTCATTTTATACCCTGTATTAAATTACAGGTATCTGAGTCTAGAACTGAATTTCATGCTCTCCACTCTTTAGTAGACAATGAAATATGAGGTAGGCATCAATTATTTATTTAGTCATGTTTTTACTTATTAATTTCTCGCACAGAAGGCTTGGCATTACCAGCACCTGGCAGCAAAACAGCCCGTACGACCAGGCCATTAGTGACGGTGCACAGTGATGGTGTTTATCTTTTCATGATGCGCATTAAGTCTGACAATGGCTCCTTCACGGCTACTGTGGACTTGCAGATGGTCGGCAGCTATGGCTATCTTTCTGCCTCAGGTGATTAGTTAATGGGACTATTTCAATGTGGAGGGTCATTGATACGCCATGTATGATTGCTTAAGCAGATTTGCTTTTTGGTGTTGATATTGATGATTGAGATGTATGTTATTAAAGTAAACTTTTATGTATGTTACCTATTTTTCAATTGTGAATTGCCTTTTTAAAAGGTATCTTCCTTGTTTATTATCAATTTGCATAAAGTCTACCCCATTAATAGAGTCAAATAAAGTTTTTTGTTTGTCAGCTTATCATTTTGCCAGGCTTATGTACATCAACCTTTTCTACCACGATTGAATTTGTTGCAGACTACCCTCTGCTGTGGTTCTACAGCGTCCTGTGTGTTGTGTACGTCATCTACGGTGTAGTGTGGCTGGTGCTGTGCTTTCTGCGTTGGCGTGACCTCCTCCGACTACAGTACTGGATTGCTGCTGTCATTCTCCTTGGTATGCAGCAATCCAATCCATTCTCCTTATTGCGCTCTTTTGCATATACCGTAATAAGCATATGTTTCTTAAATTTGTGAGTGCTTTCATAGTGAAATCAATTTCTGCCAAGTGTCTAAGAGCCAGGTAATCAGTTCATTTGAAGCGCATATTACGACTAGTGAATCAAATATACTTAGATTTCTTAGTAACAAATGAGTCAAGATTCTTTCTTCAAATTTGCGGTAAACTTATCAAAACATTGTTTTTTTTTTTTAAAGGATTGTTGGAGAAGGCCATGTTTGTTGCTGAGTATGAGTCGTTGAACGAGCAAGGCTACAGTGTCCCAGGTCTGCTAATAGCTGCAGAAATTGTATCGTGTGCCAAGCGGACCATTTCACGCATCCTGGTCGTCATTGTTGCGCTTGGCTTTGGTATTGTCAAGTGAGTTGTTGTACCACACAAACTCGTCTCATTTCCTGTTATATTCATAATATATATACATAGTATTTATATTGTTCTCTGAAGGACCTTGCTCTAAACCAAGGGAAGTTCTCGTTGTGGGTGTATAACTGATACAAGCAATTGCTAAACAAGTTATCCTGATGTTGATCTACAATATTTTTATCATGAAAAAGTTATTTGAACAAATTTTATGTTAATGGATGCAAATTATTTTTAAATGTTACTATGTAATAGATCCTGTTATTAATTTTAAATTCTTAGGCAGACATTTGTTTTGGTACTATTCTTGGAAGGAAACTTGCAATATATTTCAACCTAGCTTATGGAAACATAGTTCTGTGTATACTCCCTTTATCTCGTTACCTCCATGTTCAGGTATAATTTGGTGTTTAGCCTAGTCATTTGTACGCTCCTTTTCTGTGGTTATGTATATGTTCAAGTATAATTTTTGTTGCAGGCCCCGTCTAGGCAGCCTCTTGCACCGTGTGATAGCCCTTGGCATGCTCTACTTCTTGCTTGCCAGCATCGAGAGCTGCACACGCATCCTCAGGCCTAAGACTGATCAATCTAAGCAGGTGTGTGCACTCAGAAATATGATCGAGTCACAGTCTAAATAATGACACGGTCGTGCTCACAGGATAAGCAGAGAGCGTTCATCACACCACCCACCAGCGCTACCAAATTACCTAAAAACGGCCAACTCAGCGCGGATAAAGAGGCATATAATTCAAAATATACCAGTAAATTTGTAGGTTCCGGTGCAAAAATTAAATTTTACTGTTTTCTGTGTTTTTTAAATTTCATGAGATAGTACTGCCACCATACATTTTTGTCAACAAACTCAATTGAAATAAAAATAAATCCCAGAATTTGTCCAGAAAAAGACCCTGCAGCCCACCGGTGGGTCCGTGCCGCACTCACAGGCCAAACTGAGTAGGGATGACACGCACAAGCAAAAACCGCATTGCTATTATAATTAATATCATTTTCGAATGATTTTTAGTTCTGTGAACACAGTTGAATTTGACGCGCTGATTTGAGTACAGAAATATACTTTAAATTATCACTGCAGATGCTGGTGGCTGTTATCCCACTTGCGTTGCTGGACTCGCTGATCTGCTGGTGGGTATTCAGTGCGCTGGTATCCACGATACGCACCCTGAGGCTGCGCCGCAACCCCACCAAACTCGCCCTCTACTCCTACTTCACCAACGCCCTCGCCTTGGGGGTCTTACTCTCCGTCATCTTCATGTTTTGGAGTGTCAGGTGTGTGTTTTTGTTGGGTTTTGTTGTAGACCAATTTTTCGAAAATTGGTCTACAATGTATTTGATTTTGAACATTCCGGTTCTCTATGCTATTGGTTTCATTTATTTATTTATTTTGTATACTACTTGTATGGAAAATCAGAATTCAGTGTAGTTGTGCAAATAATAATTCCATCCAATTTATTTAGTTTTCTCAGCTGATGTCATGTGTTTTACAATTTTGAAAGCAAATTGCCTTCGAATAGTATATCTGGATTGAAATTGAAATTCGCCGGTATCACTTGTGTGGGTTATTATTATCCTACACAACTCAACTTTTTCCAACACAAGTTTTTAACATACTTTTATAAACTGAAGCCTTAACAATGACAACAATTCGTGCAGGTATCACACCTACGACGACTGCCTTAAAGACTGGCAAACTTTGTGGCTCAACGACGCCTTTTGGCACCTGCTCTTCGCCCTGCTGCTGCTTGTCATCATGATTCTCTGGCGACCTACGAACAACAACCAGGTCTGACATGGCCTATCCCTGGTCAATCCCTAGCTCAGGAGCTTCAACACACATAAATATGTTCATATTCCACGTCAATCCTCGTCCAAGGAGCATTTACACACAACAGCCAATCAAGTATGGTGTTCAATACTCGTTTTGAATGTCAATTAGCACAACCGGTGACGAATTAAAACTTTATGATGCTGAACAATTTGCTAACTAATTACTGTACCTCACAAGGCGGCAAACCATATTTGCTGCCCTGTGAGCATCTAGCTTTGTTAGCAGCTCTTTCATATACAGCAAAAAAGCTAAAAAAACTGAGGATTTAAAGTTTGAATCGACCATCTCGAATATGTTAAAAAAACGAGTACTTAACAATTGATGAAAAATTTTAATTTTTCGAATTATGCGTGACGTTGTAATCATTAGCTGTGTTTATTCAGTTATTTTCGTTCAATTAAGGAAGTGAAAGGAACACGTTGTCTAATATTTATAATTGGAATTAGAAAATGGGACGTGAGGAGATTGACTCTGAAATGCATCAAAAGATTCACAGTAAAGCAGATGGCATCATGCACATGGTAACAGAGCATCTATTGAGCAGAGGTTTGCATTCTAACCGCTGCCTACAGAGATTCACAGTAAAGCAGATGGCATCATGCACATGGTAACAGAGCATCTATTGAGCAGAGGTTCGCACAATCACCGCTGCCTACAGAGATTCACAGTAAAGCAGATGGCATCATGCACATTGTAACAGAGCATCTATTGAGCAGAGGTTCGCATTCTCGCCTCTACTCGACGACGGCAGCGACGGTGAAGAGATCGATCACCTCATCGGTGGCGGTCTGGCGGAAGACACGAAGCATCGCAGCCGCGCTGCATCCACCACCTCGTCTTCCCCGCGCTCTTCTCGACAACACTCTGCTGTACGTCGTGTATATTTGTGCTATACCTTTGTCATATAGCATAATTTTATAATTATTGTCCTTAAGCCCCCCTCACGGGGGACATTTGAGATGCTAACGCTGCTTCCTTCGAGCCAGCTTCAGCGGGCTGGACAATTGAGACCTTCCGCTCCTTGTGGGTGATGATTAACTTCAGATTATGAATAATTGAGATCTTCCGCCTTGCTGGCGATGTTATATTTTGACCTTCGGTGCGAAATAGCTTGATAGCTGAAGCGCTAGCAAACCATCATACTACTACTTGTAATTAAGCCTTGTCAGGTAGTAGCATAATTTTGTGACGTTATTGGCCTGAACCTTTGTCCGGTTGATTAATTCTGAAACTTTATTGTCCATATTCCTTGTCATATTGCTTAATTTTTAAACGTTATTGACCTTAACCCTTGTCATATTGCACAATTTTTAAACGTTATTGACCTAAACTCTTGTCATGTTGCATAATTTTTAAACGTTATTGACCTTAACCCCTGTCATATTGCATTATCATAATTTTACAACGTTTAAATCGGCCAGAGGGTAGGAACATTAGTACCAATGATGTTTGACAAGAGTTATAATAAATTTTATTATTTATGTGTTTGGTTGATACTCCCAGAAAACTCTTTATGGATTGTTGGTGCTCTGTTATTCTTGTGATTAGCGAAATCATTTTTATTGTAATTTATCACTAAGTATACTTGCGTTTATTATCTTGTAATGATTCATCAACGTGAAATACTTTTCGGTTATGTGGGAGGTAGCACATCATTTTATTTTTATTTTAAACAAATTTTATTGTATATTGCTTTGATGTAGTGAAAGTTTTATTATATTTTGTGCTGATTTCAATGTGAATTGCAGGAGGACGATCTCAAATGGGTGGAAGACAACATACCATCTTCCTTCGCTGACATGTAAGTTTGCTATACTTAAAAAGCGTCTGTATTACAATTTATTTTTCAATTCGTATGGTTTGTTTTTTTTTTATTGTGTTTGTAGCCTGGCACCAGAAATATATATGGGATGTTCGGTTGCATATCCACGATAATTATCGTAGCTGGTTATAATCGGGATCTGAAAATGAAAAATGTAATTCTGAAATTGTTTGAATTATGGTTCTCAAGGAATAGCACTCTAATTTACTAGTTTTAAACATTTTCAAATGTATGGACTTAGAGTGGCGTATGTTCTTTAATTAATTTTAACTAGTGATTCAGTATAATTGCATTTGTTTAAATTTTCACGTGTATGATACCATTTCTATGGTATGATACCTTTCCTCTTTTCCAGGAACTTGTCGGCGCTGGACTCTGATGAGGTGAGAGTCATTTAATTCTATCTTGTAATCTACATCGAAACCTGTTTCTATTATAATCAATCATATTTCTCTGTGAACAAATATTTGCGTCACAAATGTTAAATATTAAATGAAGCTTATATACGCTTGCCCGCCACAAAAAAAAAAAAAAGAATATGAAATAAGTAATTATTATGGTTTGTGTGCAGGAGATCATGACGACGCGCTTTGAAATGTCCAAAATGCAGTGAAGTCCACGTCGTTCGCCTTGTCCCGTAGGACGCCGTAGTTTGGATACATGCACACCCTATCGGGAAGCTCTGCTTCACGCTTCCGATTTCACTTGAGACTTCGTTAAGATTTCTTCACTTCGTGTACAGTCGACATGAAAAAAAAATTTGCAGTTACTGTCACTTGCCTCACTTCCGCAACATTCAGGTCTTCAACTCGTGTATGCCTTCATATTGAAATTGAAATTTTGTGTAAATATGTTGTCTGTATTGGCTTTTGGATTAGCTGATCTTTTCATTTACTTAAATTTCATCCCTAGTGGTTGAGAAAATAATTTTATACATTTAATTTCTTGTATAACTATTATATTTTTTGAGTGTTTTATAATTTTGATTGATCGCAGGACTACTTACTTGAAGCAAATACTTGTTTTCTGTTATCATGCGAGCTTACGGAAGAACATGAATCTTCTTCGCGTCAAATGCTTGCAGCTGTGGTTATTGGGGCTGTATTTCGAATTGGTTTACTGGTTGAATGGATTTGGTATGCGAAAAGTAGACTTCCATACACGTCAAGCTTTAATTAAATTTAGTTTGGCCCTTGTTCATGGTTTAAGGCACACTCCGCATGGCTTTTTATTTAAATGGGAGGGATGTGGCCTTTTGTGGACGATGGCACGCTTTGAAATCCGTTTAATATTTGATTTTTATAATTATTTTATAATCATTGTATTCAGTTTGATGATTGATTTTATAGGAAATGATTATTACTATGTTCGGATATACCGTAGTGTAGTTTGTTGATTAAAGATTTGTCATTATTAAGGTATTGCGTTGATGCCTTGAAGCGACATGAAATGAGTTTTGCTCTGAAGAAGTAAGATGTTGAGTAGGTTTTGTACAGTGTTCATATACATAATTGCCCCCAAAGAGAGGCACGCTTGTTTGGGTAAATAATGTAAATTATTGTGTAATAACTCCTTATATTCGAAGATTTTCTCTCTGCGTGATACTATTTGGCATCTGCTATGACTGTGCCGGCTTGTCTTTGTGACTGTTTTATTGTTTGTGTGTGACTCCAGCGTTTACTTGTCCATGAATCTAAGATGAAAGTGTCTCGAAGCTGCACATTAAAGGCCATTTTTCTCGCGGTGTTTGATTCTTCCGACGCGTGTCTGTGCTCGTCAAAAGTCCTATGGGATTTCGCGCTCCTAGGGGGATTGTTTCTGAGCGCCCCACCGCTGAGCTCGCGGTGTCTGACTGCAGGTCTCAGTTGTGGGGTTAAGTTATTATGTAGGTAGGATTCCTTACATTTCCCTTCCCTGTCTCTCTCGTGCGGGCGGCCGACGTCCCGGGTAAGCGACCTCTTGTTCGAGTGTCTTTGTTTCTGTTGCTTTTCACCTGTCCCTCCTTGTCACTTCGTCTCTTTGAGATGCTAACGCTGCTTCCTTCGAGCCAGCTTCAGCGGGCTGGACAATAAAGATTTTCCTCTCTGCGTGTTATTTGGCATCTGCTATGTCTATGCCGGCTTGTCTTTGTGACTGTGTTATTATTTGTGTGTGACTCCAGCGTTTACTTGTCCATGAATCTGAGATGAAAGTGTCTCGAAGCTGCACATTAAATACCATTGTTCTCGCGGTGTTTGATTCTAGCGAATGTAATGACTGAAGTTGCTGTTTTGGGTAGTCTTTTTCAGTCTAACCCCAACTCGTTGATTTATATCTTTTGATTTCTTACAGCATTGGCCTCAATTATTCAATAGAATGCATTAGTTGTAATTTACTTGTGATTTTCGATATGGATCTTGATTGCTGCTAAATGGCACGCATGAGATATGCAAACGATGGGCAGTTTGAATTGATTGAGTTTTGACCCAAAACGCATTATTCTAATTTATAAGCCATAACGAACCGTATTTGTAGTGTACGTGATCTCTGATATATACTTCACCGTGCATGAGGACAGTTTTTCCTAGATTTAAAACTTGAACGGAGTGGCATTTTAAGAGGCTCGATTTCATGGCCTCTGGTGTGATTGAATTCTCTAATGAGATTCTAGAACTTCTATTAAACATCTTTACCTATTTTAGGAGTTCTTCTATGCTATCAAGAACAAATTTTCTCTATACTATTACTGTAAATTATTAGATGTGTGAAGATATTAGTGAAGAGAAAATCGAGTAGTCGCTTCAGAAAAAAATGATAATACTTCATACATGCAGCGATATAACCTTAAAATACCGTGTTATGAAATTTCAAGACGAGCAATAATTCGTATTGTATATACTGTTGGTCAACTGCATTTGCGGTACAAAAATGCACATTTGGTTCCGTATGGGCGTACATAGCAACGATTTATTTGAAACTTATTTTGTGTGCAGGAACATTCGTCCCAATTCTCTACATCAATTCTTAATGGCTGTTTCTAGTCCTAGTGAAGATCATCGGTACAAATAAATCAGCATGAGGGATGGTCACGATAGTTAATATCCTAACTTTAATAACTACTAAATTCTATATACGTACTCTTAAAATTGCAACCGTTGTCTTAGATCCAGTTGTTTAAATACTATATATTGTTCTGAGTAAAAATTCATGCTTCTTGCTTTTGTCTATGGTCAAACTAATATCTTCGTTTCACTAGCAGCTTGTTGGGTACAGATAAAATTCATGCGATTTGAAAATTTCGTTATCTATAGAAAACCTCGATACATATGCCTTTAACACATAACTTCCGGTCATTAAATTATGTTAATGCCATTAGCCAGTTTTAGAAGACCTCCAACCCGTCCTGTTATTCCTTACACTTACACTAAAATTGATGCAATTCTAGATGCCGGTAATATCGTTGCGTTAGGCATTGCGGTTACTTGCTTGTATATACTAACTCTTCAATGTTGTCAACACCCGGCAATTAAATATCTATGTGTGTCTGTGCCTCTGTGTGTCTGTGTCTCTGTGTGTTTAAAGGAAGACCCGTTGAAACTGATTCACCTAACTTAAAAATTTGAAAATTTATTTTTATGTCATACAATAATTAATTTCATTCAGGTGAAAAAATCAGTGTCATTTGTCGTTTTTTCAGTAGATGAGCCTTCGTTTCGAGATACCCAATTATATATACTATACCATTTATACTAAAGTTCCCGTACTTAACATTCTGAATTATTTAGGTAATAGAGTAGGAGCTAAACCCGGCGTTTCGAAGGATTAAGAATCCCTGAGATTTGAGAATCCCGTGACAGAAAATCAGTCAACCCGCACCATATAATACTGTGACTAATATTTAAACTAATGTTAAGAAGACAAGTCCCGTTCACATTCAATCTCTTTTCACCCGTCACTCCCATTACAATTTTAGAACAAATTAACGGTTTTCTCTCGATAATTTCTATCTACAATATCTAACCGAAGATTTAAAGTTTACTCCAACCGTCTCCTAGAATTCTAGCCCGATGATGGCAAAGCTAAAATTTCAGATGAATTTAATAATTCCTATAGGTAACGTGAAAACGCATTCAACAATGCTCCTATATATGGAGCTTCAGACATTCAATTCACCTACACACTTTCATGATTATTTTCAATTTCTAAACTTGAATAGAGATAATATTGTTAGTTACAATGCATCAATACACTTATTTTATTATTCATTAAATTTTGTTTTAACATTGACGGCGGTATTTCTTAACTCTTCATAGCAGTAAACACAATTTACGCATGAGAGCAAGTTACCTTCTCTTATCCATGTCTCAACTTGAGCTTGGCTGCGACTCAAGCTCCTCGAAACATTTGTATAGCTATTCTTAGATTTAAAAACATTTTATTTTAAATTTACTCTGTAAAATCAAAATTATACTTGCTTTTAAAAGTAAGTAAAGTAGTTAAATTTTACTTACTTTAAATTTGCTGTGTAAAATCAAATGAAAGCTAATATATATAAAATATAAGGTTGTGACTTATTCTACAGAGAAAAATAAGAGTATCACACTCGTATCACAGAGAATATCTGATCATCACATGTGCATGCACTCTGAGATATGAGCGGGACTTTGTCCAAATAGCGTTGCGTTTTTTGTGAGTCATCCTGGCCCAGTTTGGCCCAGCCCTGATCCAGTTGCGTCTGCTCTCTGCTTGTGCTGTGGGTGAGAAAGTGTCACTAATTGGACAATATGCCCCACTCATTTATCTGGGTGATAGGCCTCATAGAGTTCGCAATAGAGCGTCCATCATATAATAAACATTAAACCATTGAGCAAATATCCATTAAATGTCTGAGATGAGCAACTTTTTTAACGGAGGGGAAATTTAGTTCATTTTGAGAGCGACATTTTTATATTTTGTGCGCTTAGATATAAAGTGTTTAAAATCTGAATTAATGATACTACGCAGGTGTTCGACTTTTCTTAGACAAAGCTTGCTGCATTTTCTTTTAAATTAGAAACGACAAACACGATCAACAAATGATCGTGCTAATTCAAGTTCAAAAGCACAATCAATATACATATGATCATTCCGAATCAAGTTTAAAAAATCACGATCAATTTATGATCGATAAGGTCGTTAGCAAAGTAAACATAACAGTAAATCCTGTACAGCGTTACGCATCAATTTTGTCGTTGTTGGTCATCGGTGGGCGTCTCAGGAGCCTTGCGAGCCGCTGTCTCGCCTCCGACAGCAGCCGACGACCGCGGCCGGAGGCGCCGGCGAAAGGGCCCTCCGCGTTTCAGGAACCGGCGATATTGCGAGTGCTGGTTGAAGATCAGGGCATAATTGGGATAGGATAAGACACTTGAACAAATGAACGGGTCATTTTGTCCAAATATTGACATACTTTCTTGCCCACAGCACGAGAAGAGAACGGACGTAGTATTGATACGTCGGTTTTCCGGGTTAAACTCGGTCAAGATAAACCAAATCAAGGCAAAAAGTGCGTCACTGTTAGGAAAAACTCTTATTCATGCATTAGATGCAGGGTACTTGCTTGAGATTTGTGCTACGTTTTATTTAATGAACTGCTATATCACATTTCTAATTTTAATAATTACTACTAAAACTCCCGTGCTAAAGGTCGCCTCTGTAAAGGTCGCCCTGTAGTAGAAACAGCCGATTTTATCAACAGAATTGAGAAAAAACTTTATAGCAGTATTTAGATAGCACTGCAATCTATCAAAAACCTAACAGAATATAACTGATTCTGATGATTATTATAAATCGGTTTCATCGTAAATGGGAGAGTTAAGTATAATAGTGTATAATAGCAAGACCCTGGCAACCTATGCGTCTTTGACTGCAGTCATAATTAGCTGTAGGTTTTTCTGAACTAATTTCGGAATGAATAAATGCATACATAATGTATAATGAATGAACACGATAACGAAGAGTATACATATATTAAAATTATATAAAAAGGCCATGTAGCGAGATTTATTTAAGCGCCTGTTTCTCACCAGCGTGTCATGACGCTTCGGACTTGCGGTGTCATCGTGTGGCTGTCTCGGAGACGTAGGCAATGCTGCTGCCATATCCGTGCTTGCTGTCCCATAATCTGAGCCTTTGAAGTTAAAAATAATATTATGAGTAAATTTATTTCAGATTTCGATTTATGAGCAAAACTACGTGTACAAAAAAAAAAAACATCGCATCATAGGTGGCTAACGCTTGTTGCGAAAAAAGCGTCTTGCCAGTGAAGCTACNAAGCTACTCGCCTATCGTGAGGCATGCAAAAATTCCTTAATTGACCGAATTCTATGCAATCGGAGCAGAAATTCCTTACATTGTATTCTGTGTTTCGGCCGCACCGAGGATCCTTGAGAATTCAAGGCGGAGTTCGATACTTCGGCTGTAACGTGCGTGGACGTGGCCACTGATTTGTTGGCAATGGTTTCGCGTTTTTCTGTTGCAACTCCAATTGTTGTCCGATTGGCTTTGGACATTTTCAGTGACTTTTTTAGTTTCCTGAGCTCATTCATTGCTTTCTTAAATGTCCTTAGCAAATCTGAACTCTGGACTAGACGCATTTGTCCTGTAACAGAATCTTCGTCTGTCACTTCGCGGGACAGGGTATCTGATCTAGGACTGCTCAAGGAAGAATCGTCCGAAGAGTCATGAAGTACAGCCTGAAGAGCAGACTTCTCCGTCTGAGTATCATTTCCGCTGCAAGTCCCTCGATTGCCGGCCTCTGAAATAAGTTCACTGGAAGCTGGCGGGTTTTCATTGTGTGGTGAACAAATGCGCTGAATGTCCACAGGTGTCAATAAAGTGGCCGAATCTGTTTCTGGTCCTGAGTCGGACATAGTGGACGGTGCATTTACGATGTTTTGCATTGGATCTGAGCTTTCAGCCTCAGCAACTAACAATTGAGCTGCAGAGGAAGGCTGTGGTACGTTATTTTCTATTTCAATTTGCGTATTGTCCGAAGATGAGCTGGTGCTCGATATACCTGATGTGTTGATGGTCGTGGTAGGGCTAAATTTAAACGTTGATAGAAGGGAATTAAATGACAAATTTGTGGCTTCAGGGAGCATTGATTCAGAATTTGTAAGGCTATGACATTGCGTTGGATTTGTAGTGGACGATGAGTTTGAATTTGCAGTGTACAATTGAGCAGTGCTTCTAGACATTGATGAAAAACCGGATGAATCAGCCTTCACGCTCGCAGGCGATCGCATACTTGTAGGAAACGAACATCGGAATCCAAATTGAGGTTGACTCGAATCTTGGCAAATTTGAAGCAGGTTCTCCGGTATTCTAGGCCTCAATCTGTTTCTTTCGGAAAAGATGAATTGCAATCTATTTCCGACTGCATTGCCTCGTGTCCGCGGCATCGTGTTGAAATTACTTGTTCTGATGCTGTTATTTTGTGATTCATTAATGCTGCACGCGGCGTTCACACTCACAAGGTTAGACTGGTTTCGATTTTCTGACGCGCTGAAAGGGAATCTCTGGACATTTGCGTTGCCAGAATTACCAGCAAAGGAAAAAATAGACTGAGATGGAAGCAAGTTACTTATCCCCGATGAAGTTGGTCCTTGGGAACTCGCATCATTTGGTCTTGATGCGGACGCTGACGAATTCAGGTCAGTTTGAGTTGAGTTGATATCTTCGTTAGTACCGAGAGGGGAATCGTCGTTTTCCATGCGATTTCCACCAGTTGCAACATTACGGACGTAGTCGGTTGACAATAGCGGTGTGGCTTGCAGAGCGTTTGTTGCAGTTGCGGGAGATGTCAATGGGTCGGTTCCACTTTGCGATGCCCGTGGTGTTGAAGTAGAGGCCAACGTACTGAAACACAGATTCGCTTGAGAAAAGAATGATATCACTGGTCTTAGGCTGAACTGAGTGGGTAATGAACGCGAGCAGGGAACGAAAGTTGTTGTTGCATCGACTCTAGTCACATTCTCATCATTAGCATTTGAATCCAGTATTCCTGCTGATGATGAAACCGTGTTACTTAGAGTGAACAAAGGAGGATCAAATCCGGAAGAAGGATTTTCAACTGTCGAGGAAGACAGAACCGTCGATTCCGGATCGTTTATGACCACGGCATTCTGTTCATGTACATGTTCACCGTGGTCGTTTGCCGGTTCTGGTTCCAAATCTTCCATGTCTTCTTCGTTCTCTTCGTCTTCTACTTCAGATTCTTCGTCAGAGAAAGGTAGATCAAGGCCGTCGCATACGTCAGTCAAAGAAAAATTGCTGTCACGGCATCTCTGCCCGATTAAAGAATAAGGTTAGTTTTAATGAAGAGAAATATCTACAAATGAAAATTTTATGAACATTACTAAAATAACGAGAAAATCTGGAACGGGTTATTCTTATTGATTGATTAGCCTAGTATATGTATCCAGACTGGTGATATGAGGAAAATTGTTTTGCGACTAGTGATTCATTTAAACTATTATTCGAATTATTCCTAATCTCATCACCTGGAAGTTGTCAATAAGGCCATAGAAGGAGCGCATGTGAGGTTTCTGAGGCCACATCAGCACCGCTTTTATGTTCTCCAATTCCGCTGTCTTGTCCCGGATTGCCACCAAAAAGTCACTGCCAGGTGGAATGGTCCAATCAGAGCTCAGTTTCTCTAGTTCAGATATTTGCTTGTTCAGTCTACTCTGAAGCACTAGAATTCTTTGTTGGTAGATGACGTATTCCTTGCCCAGCTTTTTGAGCATTTTGCCTAGGTTCTTCTGCAGGTCAAGCACCGTTTTATTCTCTTTAATTATGTTCTCAATGGATGACAGACTCTCTTTGATGGCAGCTTCGGTGTCAGCCACCTTCTGCATCATCTCGGTTTTGAGCTCATTGGCCTGCTCCTCGAGCAAGACCCATTCACAACCACGGTGCTGCTGGCGTAAACATTTTCTGCAGAGTTTTTCACTGCAAGGGACGCACCAGAAGAGCAAACTTGTGTTATGAATCCTACACTGGAGGACATCGCTCGTCACGTCGGTTGGTAGAAGCTGGTAGCACTCTGGTAACTCGTTGACAGTTCGGTCGCTCCAGGACTTACGACAAACCTAATAACAGAGATTAATTAATTAGTAAGAAATTAATTAGTAAACCTCCAAATAAAAGTCAATTTATATAGCAAGTAAGTTGACGAAATTTCGCTTAATTGAAATATTGTTAATCGCAGCGTGTTTGTCGATTCGCTTAATATGAGAAAGTCGAAATATTGATTAGAATACAATGAAATGAATATTTCTACAAACTATGATTTCATCGTATTTTTTCATTTTCATCTTGCTTTTCAATGGGAACATTCAAATAGTTCAGGAAGTTATGCCGTTTAATAATTCTGCAAATTTTCAGCAACTTATTGTCAGTAAATAAGCAGATCACGAAAGTGAAAAAATCATCATTTTTTTGTGGATGTTGCAAAGCGTGCAAACGAATTACGGCGGTAAGTATCAAACCACAATATACCTTCACTCCTCCGCACAACCCACCAAATCATGAGTTTTATCCCATCCCAATCGACCTCAACACAACCACATACATTGATAACCAACCCAATAATGTGCCATGCACCTTTCTTCGTATCGTACTTCCTTTTCCATTTCTCCGTGCTCTTATATGTCACTCTGCGCAATTTCTTGTTTTCTTATAATATTTACTTGAAGAACCGCAACAACAGCAACCAAAAAAAAAAACACAAAAATAACAAATAAAAAAACCTCAACAACAATCATACCTACAACAATAAAAACTTCATTCACAACAACAACTACAACAGCAACAACAACTAGCACAACCGCAACAACGACTAACACAACAACAATAACGTACGGCACAACCGCAACAACAACAACAACAACTAGCACAACAACTTACGGCACAACCGCAACAAAAACAACTAGCAGCACCACAACATCAACAACTAGCAGCACCATCAACAACTAGCAGCACCACAACATCAATAACTAGCAGCACCACAACATCAACAACTAGCAGCACCACAACATCAACAACTAGCACAACCACATCAACAACTAGCACAACCACAACAACTAGCAAAACAGCACCACAACAACTAGCACAACTACAACAACAACTAGCACAACAACAACACTAAGCACAACAGCAACAACAACTCACGGCACAGGTTCTGTATGTGTGGGCGGACATGCGGTAGAGGCAGTCGTGGCAGAAGGTGTGCCCGCAGCTCAGCACCAGCGGGCGCTTGTTGACAGCGTCGTACTCGCTCACGCATATCGGACATCGCCGCATACTCGACGCCATTGTACAGTCTGGAACAATCGATATTTGTTTCTGACCTTAAGATTTATTGTATCTGCATTTATGTGGATAATTTTAGATATGTTTCAAACGGAATAAAATAATTGTTTCAATAGTTATTGAAGGAATACGTCGTATACTCGACGCCATTGCTAAGCCTGGAACAATCACTATTTGTTTCTGACCTTAAGATTTATTGTATCTGCCTTTATCTGGATAATAGTGTTATGTTTAACACGAATTAATTTACTTATTGAATATTTATTGAATAATTATTCATATTTATTGAATGAATACGACGTATACTCGACGCCATTGCAAAGCCTGGAGCAATCTATACTTGTTTCTGACCTTAAGTTTTATAGTATCTGCATTCATCTGGATAATTGTAGATACGTTTGAAAAGGAATAAAATAATTGTTTTTAATAGTTATTGAATAAATACGTCGTATACTCGACGACACTGCAAAGCAAGGAGACTTATTGATATGGATAATAGTAATCATCTTTGGAAAAGGAGAAAACATTGTGCTATTATTATTTATAGTTATTGATTGTTGCTTATACATTGAAAAGCGTGGAACAATCGACGTATAATTTTCTCCGGCCTTCAAATTATTTATATAAAATTGTTGTCATTTTTGGTCAGGAATAAAATATGATGATATTGTTTTTAACACTTATAAGATAATTGAGATTTAATGTCTTCTGCATTGCTATGGATAACAATGGTTGTCTGTGACCAGAAAGGAAATATGCGATTGTTTTTAAAACTCATTGAATAAACACGTCGCATACATAACGCCATTGAAAAGCCTGGAAAAATCAATGAATATTTTTCTTTGGCCTCAAGACTGATTGATTTGGATAACTCTGGTCATTCACGTAGAGAATATCATGCGATTGTTTCTAATAATTATTAAATAACTATGCAAATATATTCATCCTAAGACTTATTGTAGTCTGTATTGCCAGGAATAATTGAGGCATAAAATAATCTTTAGCCACGAAAAAATATTTCGCGATTGTCTGAAATGATTATTGAACGATCGAGTGATTGTATTAATGTTCTCTTTTTCTAATTATTTTATCCTAAATTTCAACTAAATGCACAGCCGTTCCAATTCAAAAATCATTGAAGAGTGTAACTACTTATAATTTATTTATTCAACTATCCAGATAATTTCACACTAATTACCGAAAATTGTTTCAATTGAATTACGCATGCGATATGCGAAAAAAAAAAATCTAGTGGAAAATTCTATCTACGAATGGGCGCTATAGGCACTATAAGGATTATGCTTACTCGCCTGCCAATTGTTATTAATTATTTAAATATCTTCTATTGGCTTCCTCTCCTTCCTCTTCATTCCGTCAGCGATTCCGTTTTCTTCGTCCTCCGCTGGCCGTAGGCTTGGAATCTTCCTCCATTGCCTCACGTCACGAAATTCTTGATGGAAAACATAATTTGATGAACACTATTTACTAATAAGAATACTCAGTACAATGTATAAATTATCGTCAAAAATACATTTCTACTAACTTTTCAACGATTCGAGTACACATAGCTTATATGTACTTGCTTATAGTTGGAAAAGTTTACATCAACTCCATTTACACCACTCACTTTCACTCAGATGTTAAATTAAAATGCCCACTGCACAAGTCAAACATCATGATTATTGTAACGCCACTCAGTCATTAAATCTAGCATGGATTAAAAATATTCGTAATATTGTACACATTGTCACTTACTAAAGCTTCAGCTGTATTGATACACGAAATATGAATATGTTCACGAATGTTTGAACAAGATGTACCAACCTGAGTCGTCAGTAGCAGCCCACGTCACCTGTTGGAGGCTGGCACTGAGCAGCAGCTGTGCCTGGCGCTGCTGGTGCTACCGTCGCCAGGGAGACCAATCAATGACTGCCACGACATTGACTGCCACAAAATTGACTGCCACGATATTGACTGCCACGATATTGACTGCCACGATATTGACTGCCACGATATTGCCTGCCACGATATTGACTGCCATNATTTTGTCACCTGACATGCATTTGAATTTTGTCACTTTACATACATTTAAATTTTGTCACCTGACATACATTTGATTTTGTCACCTGACATGCATTTGAATTTTGTCACCTGACATACATTTGAATTTCGTCACTTTACATACATTTAAATTTTGTCACCTGACATACATTTGAATTTTGTCACCTGACATACATTTGAATTTTGTCACCTGACATACATTTAAATTTTGTCTCCTGAAATACATTCCGAAATTTTCACGATGGACGTAATTTTTGATCCTCATCGTCAATGCAGCCGTCGACCGTCGCACGACAGGCGGGAAACTTCTCAATGGTAATGGAAAATAAAATTTAACACGGATGCGCTTTGACGTTTTAAATGATGAGTTTTGAAACAGAATGCAAACGCGTTACAATAAATAGATCATTAATTACACATAGGGCGTATCTATGAAGCTACTTCAGACTCTTTTTACTTAAATTTTTGTGGTTGTGAAGCTGGATTGGAAAGACTCTTTTATAATTCATAAATAAGATCGGCTTCTAGCATTATGTATTATATTAGTTACAGTAATCGAACAACGCTCCCAGCAAATAACGCCCATAGACGATTTGAATCTTGCTAGAAAGGCATATCCAATACACATAATTTAAGACCAGTTTCACGGTTCGGGTTTTTTTGGGGCATTTCTTAGTCTCAACGGGACATTTTATCTCAATGAAAGATCGAACAATAAAAAATTGCGTTTGCCTATCACTGTGTCCGGCGTGGGACCGAAACGCCTCGGCCGGAACGCCCGGCGCTTTTTAGGAAGAGGTCACACCGCGGTGCGCTATCAAGGACCAAACTGTGGTGAATATCGGCGCTGTAAAATTCACACTCGTCACGTCTCAGTTCTTGCGGCGCAGGATTTGTCATTGTGCTCGCTGATCAAGCCATGTACTCGAGAAAGATAGGATCAGACTGTGTTGGAGGAAATAGCTAGCCGTTTCAATTCATTTTTTGAATTCTGGACTCTGAACAACAGGACTTTTTCGGGCAAGCACAGAGTGGTAGAAAATATGCAGGATGTCCCTCGATATGTTAAGGATTACCTCCATTCATCACCTTATCAAAATTAAAATAAAATAATTTTAGTGAAGTCAGCCGAAAGATCGAGTAAAAGTCAAGGCGAAATAAATGAGCAGTCAAAAATAAAAATTTTTCCCAATAGTTTTAAACAATTTAATATTATGCTATACTTGGCCCACCTTCTTACCGTTGAAAGCATCAATAACTATGCCCACCCGACAACAACAAACGTCGCGGACACACAAAAGTAAGCCTTTCTTTTGATATCTAGGCCCGATATCTACCCGAGGTAATACGGACGTATCGCACATCTAACGCGTAGCGAACATCTCTCTTGAATGCCGTCAGTTGGAGACACGTTTTCTCAATAACTCCAAGTATCAAGTGTCCTGAATGTCCCTTAAGGCCACCCACGGCAAAGGCAAGAGACCTCACGCAAGCTTGTCACTTATGGCTCGCTCATTTTTCCAGCGAATGCAATCTTGAAATCTGTAAGCAGTCTGAACTCATTTAATGTTTATGCCGCTTATTCAACTGACACTGCCGATTGTTACGAGCACCTGTGATAAAAATTTGTAGCAGACAATAGGTACTTAACTGAGCATTTTATAAGACGCCCAGTTGATATTTTGACATGAGTGGGACAATCTTTTTCGAAGGAAAGCAGTATTCAGAAATTAACTTGTATAACGTCCATGGTAGCTTCAGAGCTTTGTCAGGGATAGCGTCAGAATATTCCTTTCAAGATGTGGCCTATAAATCTCTACTTGAAAAGGCATCACTTGAAACAGCTGGTAACGTCTTCTGACAGGCTACGGCGTCCCTGGCACAAATAGAAGACATTGCTTTCTAAAACGGCAAGACCGACGCAGTGGCGTAATATACATTAAATTTTGCATGTACTGTCACACTGCTTACAATTTTAAGCGGCCATTAGGCGCTTATGTTCCTCGGATGGTTTCATAAAAAATTATGGAATGAAGGAATCAAGATCTGAATTCAAAGAACTTTTTGAGCTAAACTTTTGTTAACCAAGTACGGTAGTACCAGTCATCGATGGTCGACTTGAATTTAGATTTAAGGTAAGACTGTTAAAGCCAAGTTAGATTTAAAACGAAACTAACGACGCGGATTTAGAATTAAGGCAATCATGATGAAACAAAATTAGAGCAAAAACTAAACTGTTGACGCGCATTTAGTTTTAAGGCAAAACTGTTGTAAGCGTAAAAGATTTGTAATTAATAAATCCTGATTGACCCGATGGCCATCTTGGGCAGGACGTTGAAGTGACAAAGTCTTGTAGATCCAACAGACCCATGCATCGCTGACACAGACCAACAGGTGTGCTGAACAGGCAGATCCAACAGACCCATGCATCGCTGACACAGACCAACAGGTGCGCTGAACAGGCAGATCCAACAGACCCATGCATCGCTGACACAGACCAACAGGTGCGCTGAACAGGCAGATCCAACAGACCCATGCATCACTGACACAGACCAACAGGTGCGCTGAACAGGCAGATCCAACAGACCCATGCATCGCTGACACAGACCAACAGGTCTGCTGAACAGGCAGATCCAACAGACCGATTCATCGCTGACACAGACCAACATGAAAGCCAAACAGATGGGCAACATTATTCAGTATTCACCCGGGCCAAGATAATGAATGCAACAGTGTCGCACCATATTACTTACACATTCAAGGTTTGTTGACCAATAGACGGTAAAGGATTTCCATTGTTATTCAAAATTACAGTTGATTAAGTCAATGTGAATTTTTACACGTGAGTGAGCGGCGCCTGCGCAAATTATGCAATATGCATCATACTTTAATGTTAGAACCGTAGTTGAAAATTTAGCTGTTAGAACTTTATTGTTGAAAGAAGCTGCCGTAAAAATAAATTAGAGACTTCAGATTGTTTGCGTTAAAATTATGGGATAACTTTAACGCAAGGGTTGCAAATGCACTATGAAGTAACATCTTCTTTGAATGAAGATAAATAGAGAGCGAAAGCATGTTCTCAGTGTGAAGGAAAAGGGGGCGAGTCTTCCTTGTTCGTTCAGTTCTGCAAACGATGATAACGTTGCTCTTACCCTGACGTCAACCGAGACAAATTTTCAGCGTTAATAAACGAGTTTTACGGCAATTTTATATTGAAGCATATCTTTATAAAACAAATGGCTCAAGCTGAATGGATCTCAAATAAAAAAATAAGGAACTAATCGCTTCCGTCAGTATCACGTGAGATAAACTACATGTCAAGCTGATCAATTGACCTTAAATTAAGATGACTAAAAAAAGTTTCACTGGTGTGTATTACCCGTATTTTTTATTCCCAAGTATTACTGGTGCATAATGCCCATATTTCCTATTTCCAAGTATTACTGGTGCATAATACACATTTTTATCATTTCCAAGTATTACTGGCGTATTCAATTGCCACTAACTATACCAAGTTAAAATAATTTATCTCATAAATTGAACACTTCAACGTATTTAATTCTTTACTTGGAGCATCAGATGCCATGGAGCAACAGAACCTCTCCTCCATCACACGTCTTCCCGATCTTGACCATGCAGCTGAAAACACAAACGCGTGACTCACGCGCCACAAGATAACTTCTCTGCAAACTTATAGCCCTGGAAAAAGCTATACTGCCTTAATACTGCGCATTAATTAAATACGTGTAAGATTACCTTTACTAAACGTATATATTATTGAAATGTTCGACGAATCAATTAATAAATTTATGTATCAACTGATAGTTCGACGCACTAATTAATAAGTTTGGTTTAGCAATTGATCCGTTCGACGTACCAATCAATACATTTGGTGTATCAAGTGATAGTTCGACGCAATAATTAATGTTTGATGTATCAAATGATAATGCGAAGCAATAATTAATACGTTTGGTGTATCAACTGATAGTTCAACACACTACTTAATACGTTTAGTGTATTAACTGATAGTTTGACGCACTAATCAATACGTTTGGTGTCTCAATCGATACGTTCGACACGAGCAGCAGAGGCCTGAAAAGAAACCTCTTCATTTGTAACCTTTTCCTTCTGCCTTGACTACTTAGTGAACAAATCTCATCAAGGTCAGGCATAACTGACTGCCAAATGTATTGAGCTATCTACCTAGGAAATAAGATGGCAACGATCTAATTGTAGTAAAGAATTTCAAAGGATTCTTCGGAATAACTTACAGGATGTAAAAAACTGAAGTTCTGCTGAGTATGCCCGTTTTAGTTATCAATTTAGGTATTCAGGGATGACCATGTAGTTGTAATGAACAGTTTAAATGATACTTATAAATGACTCATGGGATGTGCAAAAATAAAGTATTGCTGAGCATGTCCGTTACCTACGACCACCACAAGTTCCGGTCAATCAGACAAACGGATGGCAAAGAGCGGCAGCGTAACGGCGGACTGAGCGGCCACTGCGCCTGTTAATGACCGCCATGAATGGCCTCCACTTAGTGAGCTTCAAATGTCCATCACAGTCTTACCTCAGACATCCCTGGCGACCGCGCAAACCGCGATCTGTCTGGAGCGCATTCAATCAGATCTAAAAATTTGCACTTAAGAAAAGCGTAACAAATTGTCTCTATCAAATATGGAAAAATGTAAGTAAATTCGTTCTTCTTAAATACCGTGATAATAGATAAAATGTGTGCCTCTATAGGAGCTAATCAGCATTTACAAGTAAAATTTAGTGGTCAAGTCATTAGATAGAATTTTTTGAAGCAGAAATCGTACGCATAAAGCGGAAATCTTGGAAATTTTATAACATAAGCATGTGTAAATAGCGTCAAACGCACTGCAGGCATCA